TCAGCCAAAGTTTCACGTACCATTTGCTCACCGTTGCCATTATCGTCATCTTGAGAACGGTGTGTGTGTTCGTGTGTGTTCGTGTGTGTGTGTTGAGAGAGGTAACGCGCATTAATATCTCTCTATATTAATTTACCTTTGAAGCATCCCATTTTTCTATGCTTCGCACGTTGTAACATCGCATAATGGAAAATGCTCGTGTCAATGACGGCGCCTTTTATTCACAGACTTACACTTCAATTTGTGATCCTGGCACGATGCGTGTAATAATCTATCTGATGAATGATTTTCTGTAATCATATGAACGAAATGGCTTTTTCGGTACTTTCATCATGTGCGTGTCTCATCTTTGCATACATCGCATGTATTTGCGACATCATACAGAGAATCATTTGGTTCACGTGTGGGTGAATTCATTATTATTATTATTATTCCACATTTACGGCATACAAAATGAACGGAACCCTTTTTCTTATCCGATTTAACGCGCTCGCATTCACATTTTCAAACTAGAATTCAGTTGCATTCACACACACCGGATCCTTTTCAATACTCATTATGAATATTATCTCACAGCATGAGCTGCGTCGAAACATTTCTTTATTCAAAGGATTTTTAGGTCGATTTCTTTCTTTAAATCATGTCATGTGTTAAGTCTTTGTTTCAGAAGATGACAAAAGTGCTTTTGACATAATTACAAATTGTCATTTAAAATCTCTTTTAGCATATGGCATATTTCTGTAGTAATTTCTACTGTTTCAATGCAAAAAATCATACTTTTATTGAAAATGTCGTGTTTTTAAATTCAAACACGAATAGTTTTTAATATAAACTTTATGCATTTTGCGAAATAGATTAAAATGTATACCTTCAACCGAGAAATGTTCGAAATAAGCTAAAAATTCCACTTTCTGAAATGAAAAATAATTATATTTTCTTTTGGAATTTTGCCATCTCATTTTTCTCCTATTCTACTTAAGTTCGTTTTTTTTCTTTCCCATTTCCGTTTTCATGTTACTTTCAAATATCTTTTTTTGGTTGAACCATTTCCTTTAGTTATAATCAGAGCGTGTTTTGAGCTGACATTAGCAGCACAAACTAATGTCAGCAGCTTATATCAGCAGCTGACGTTAGTTAGTGCTGCTACCGTCAGCTCAAAACACGTTCTGGTTTTAATCCACGGAATTCATACCCTGTTTCGAGTTGAAAACAACAGCAAGAAAACTAAACTCCTTCAGATCATCCAATGTCCATCCGGTTGGATGTAGATGATGTTCGACAAAACTTTTGTTTCAATACAGCAAATCCACGTCAAAATCTTACCTTTTCTATTGATAAATAATTCTGATTGCATTCATATTAATGGTGAGCTCTGGTGCTTTGCTCCATCTCCCCCATACATTCAGTATGCATGGGAGCATCTAAATAAAAAGAGATAATCTGTTGTGTTACGTTGTAATGTGATATCGAACTTGAGCTGAGCTTGCATTTCCGATGAAAAGACACATCAAATGCATTGGCAAAAACAAAGAGAATCAAATCCTCTCTCTCTCTATCTGTCCATTGAAAATTGTATGTTCGCAAACTAGAACATATTCCTGTTTCGTTTAGTTCCCATGATTTACATGCGAATGCATTAGATGCTTTCATGAATTAAGTCGATACTGTGTCGCTTAGAAGACCTTTTAAGAAGATTACTATTTATATATATTTTTTGTTTAACCAATCATACTGTAACTGGGATGCCATTATGCTGGTCGTTCTCCAACTGTGACGTGGTTTAAGTATGTGTGTGTGTGTGTTCCTCGCTCGGTCTCCCGTCCAAATCATCATATGCGTACAAAATGTGCATATCAATTGTATTTAATTTCACCTTTTTCGACCCTCAATAAAATTCGACATGGCAGATGAATAGAAAATGCTCCGGTACGTTGCACACGGACCGACTCAAACTCTTTCCATTGAAATGGATCCATGTATTTATTTGCATGTGATATTTAAACATAGAGCAACAGAAAAAAAAGAAACTTAAACAGTAACCATGTGCAATTCGTTACATTAAACGACAATTCTCGTTTTTTTTCACTCCTCTCCGCTCTTCCATAGATTGATGTGGCTACTAAGGTGAAGCAAGTGTGAGTGTGGATGCATTAGCATATACTATCGTCGTCTAACTCGCTCTCTCACTTGTCAAAAGAAACTTTTGAACTAAAAGAACTCAAATTGCAGAAAAAAAAATAAAGAACATCAAGAGACAAACACATTTGTTGTGCAGTTTGTTTCGAATTTGTTGAAATAAGACATTATTCGCCGCAGTCTCTTTCCCTCCACCGCTTTTGCTGCCCATTGGTAGCGACAATGGAAATCGTATGGAAATTTCTCATGAGAATTCAACCAAATGCCTGGGCACAGCTGCAGGCTAAGAAATTCTAACTTTATTTATTTGCCATTTTCAATATACACATTCAGGCTCAAATGGTGTGTGTATGTGTGTGTGTGTGTGTTTTGCGAGCCGAGTAGTTATCAATAGTCCATTTGTACGTTGTATCGATTCAGCTTCGAAAATGATAAAGTCTTTTTCCCATTGTCCGTTTTCTCCCCTCTCTCTTTCACTGTCTCACTCTAGTTCGCTCGCTCGCTCGGCTTCCGCTCGATTTCAATTCTATTTGTGAACCGCACGCTGGACAGAAGTCAAGTTTTTAACAAGAACAGCAAAAAAAAGAATAGAACGAACGAACTTCGTTCAATACGGCGATTTCGACGAATAAAGTTTAAAATTGCATTTTAAATTAGAATTGAATTGTCCTTCTGCTAGCTGCTTACACATACGGTATACAATACGAATGAATTAATTTCAACATTCTGTCCAATGGTGGAGAAGACGAAACTTAGTTTCGTATACATTAGAAAGAAATTTTGTCCAAACCAAACACTTGAAATTAGATTTTCAGACGAAACGCTGAACGAATTTCTGGTTGTGAGATAAAAATATGGTTCCAGTCACAACAAAAGCAAAAGAAGCAATTCAATTTACAAACATGGAATGCACTTTTCAGCTTTGAACGGAATCCAAAATTGTTGGCGAGATATGCTGCTGCTGCTGGGTGTCTGTGTAACAAAGCTCATTTTTCTCTCGTCCATCTCACCACTAACGCCATTAAGCGGAAACACTATTCTCGACTTTCTCGTTTGCACATTTTTATTTTTAGCTTACATAATTGAATTAGATTCTTTTTTTGTTTGTCGTCATTCTCCAGTGCAACTGTATGCAAGTTGGGCAAATTACAATACGCATACCCACAACTTGTTCCAATTTAAATGAGCGTCCAGTTTGTAATTTGAATTTTGATTGGGTGTTGTTTTACAACAATGAATTCGATAGCAATGAAAAAATCCATTTGGTCATTTGGTTCTTGAGAGAAGGCTCTTTTTATTCATTGAAAAAATCATTTTTGAAAAAGCTCAATTCAATGCAAGTTTCTAACCAAAAATGAACGTTATCGATCGCATATTACATGACTGAAGTGAAAATCCAACATTTGGTATTGAAGCGCTTGAAGGATTGCTGTTGACGCATTAACCAAAAAATAGATCTACATATCGCATATAACACACATACACACACATGCAGCAGTTGACGTCGTACGCCAAAAGCCATATGCCGCATGGGCGCACGTACATCATCACTTTTGTCACCACATAATTAAATTCTCCGACTAAATTATACGGTCAAAGAACGCATTCGATAAGATATACGTCTACACTCGGATGCATATACATGCATCACACAACAGCCTACGCCAGTCTCTCTCTCTCTCTCTCTTTCTCTGTGTTCGGGATATATACGCTGATAGCAGGATGTGTAAATTACGATGTAAGTAGGAAATTCTATTGTCGGTTATGCTCAACGGTAAGTGTTAACCGAACCGGATTTGTCATTGATATGGCTGCGTGTAGTTGTTGGTGAGGACGATGCAATAATTTGCAATCGATTCAAATTTAATTTATACATTTGTACCGTTCGACTTCATCACTGGCGCAACAATAATACATTCAATTAGTTGGTTTGAGCTATTGCCATTTCAGGGAGGTGTTTTACATATCGCGTGAATTTCACGATTCAAGAGTGGTTTGGACAAAGAACTCCAAACAGCTTTACACTATTCTCCACTTCCATTGGATTTCAACGGTCAACGTGTATCTAATGTAATAGGAACTAAATGCGAGTGGAGACGGTGCATAAAAAATAGTGTAGAAAAACTTTTTGAATGGGGATTTGATTTATACATGAATTGAAGACAATACTTGTTAATGTTAAAAACACATTTTCTCTATTTTCTTGTTAACATTTTTATTTAAAAACCTAAAACATCATAATTTCTACTGTTGAATGAAATTGATTGAACAGAAATTCGTTGAGCTGATATAAAGAACATTTAAACTGA